TCCATTTTGAGCTAATTTTTGTGAAAAGTCTAAGATTCGATTTGGTTGTTTGGTACTTGGAGATCCAACTGTTTCAGTGCCATTTGCTGAACAGACTATTCTTTCTACATTGAAATGTCTTCCTGTCAAAGATAAGTTGACTATACTTGCGTAAGTGCATTTGTTTTCTCTAGTCTGTCCCTTTAATCAATGTGTTGATTCTTTCACCAGTATCACTTGATTACCAATACTGTCTTATCATAGTATATACATCTTGAAATTGGGTAGTGTGAATACTTTATTTCTCTTTTTAAGGATTGCTTTGCTTATTCTTGGCCTTTTACCTTTCCATATAAACTTTAGAATCATTTTGTCAATATCCACAAAATAACTCACTAGGATTTAGATTTAGATTGAGTTTTCTAATCCATGAACATTGTATAGCTCTCCATGTATTTAGCTCTCCTTTGGTTTCTTTGATCAGAGTACTGCTGTTTCCTTATAGAGTATAGATCCTACAACTATTTTGTTAAGGTTGGTATTATGGCCCACATGGTTCCTCAAAATACTAGAAATAGGAGCTGGTAATGTAGTTCAGTAGTAGAGTACTTGTCTATCATGTGCTAGGCCCTGGGTTCAATTCCTCACCCCCCCCCAAAAAAACCAACTCACACACACACCACCACCACTCCACTACCCCTAAAAACAGAACTACCACATGATCCAGCAACTCCATCTCTGAGTATATACACAAAGGAAATGAAATCAGTATACGTTGGAGAGACATCTGCACTTGTATATTTACTGTGATACTTTTCAGAGTAACCAATATATGGCATCAACCTAGGTATCCAATGATGGATGGCTAGATAAAGGCAATGTGGCATACACATACAGTGTGACATTAATCAGCTATAAAAAGAATGAAATGCTGTCATGTGCAGCAATGTGAATGGAACTGGAGGATATTATGTTAAGCAAGATAAACCAGGCACAGAGAGACAAATGCTGCATGCTCTCACTCATATGTGGAAGCTAACAGGTTGATCTCTCTTGTAGAAGTAGAGATTACAAAAGTTTCCAGAGCCAATTACTCTGGTCTGACCATTACACATTATATACATACATAATGAAATGCCATTCTGTACCCCTGAATATGTATAATTACTTTGTATCAATTAAAAATAAAAATAAAAACTGAGAGACAAGATGTGCGTGCCTCCTGATGGATCACAAATGCCTATGAATTAGTCTTGTCACAAAAATCAAATTTGAATCCAATTAAGGTTTTAGGCCTAATTTCAGACTTACAGAAAAGAGAGAACAGAAAAATTTGTCCAACTACAATAAAGGAATCCAATCAGCAATACAGCTTGTGAAACTGTATGACCAGTGTCTGCTTTCTTCAACCAAGACATTGCAAATAAAATAAGAAGATGGGGACCTGAGAGGTAGGAGAGACCAGGATGGTTCATAAGGACACAAAAGACTTATTAACCAGTGTAAACTGGATAGTAATCCAAACACCTAGGCAAAAATTTAATGTGACAATTGAGTAATTGGAACACAAACCAAATATGTGATTATAGTAAGAGACTATTGTTAACTAAATATCCCTGATCTGACATCTAAAATGCTCTGAAATCCAAAACATTTTGAGCCCTGACAAGACACTCAAAACATTTTGGATTTTGGAAAATTTCAGATTTCAGATTTTTGGATTAGGGATGCTCAACCAGTAAAGTCTATGGAAATATTTTGAAACCTGAAAAAACTTCAAAATCAGAAATACTTTTGGTCCCAAGCATTTTACCTAAGGAATACTCATCCCATATTAGGTATGATGATGGTGTTGTGGTTATAGTTTTGTAAAAGGCAGTCCTTTTAGTGGTACATACTGAAATATTTGCAGGTAAAATAATACTTGCAAATCCAAGATTTGCTTTTAAATAATCTTGGCAGGGAAAATCGGTGGAATTATAGACAAAGGCTTAGCAACCAGTTGATAGTTGTTGGAATTGGGCAAAGCGGGTATATGGTGTCCACTGCAGTATTCTCCCTGGTTTTATAAGTATTTTAAATTTGATTGGAAATTAAAGTTCAGAAAGTGATTATGTGTATGTATGCATTTGCCACTTTGATTTTCCTTTTGTAAAACGTTTTATATGTAATGCATGTTTAATGTGCCTAATTAAAATAATACAAAAGAAAAGAAATGAACTGTAGTAACACAAGTGCACCAAAGAGAAATGCAGGGAAGGTCTCTTCTGAAGCCCCTTCCTCTTCTCCTTTCCTCGCCCCACTCTGATCCCTTCTCGTCGCTCAGGTGCAAGTCTGTGCCCACGAAAGCCGCCATCTTAAAGGCAGGGTGTCCGCTCGCGACCAGGCTGACTTCCGCCACTAACAGCCCAGCTCCCCCAGAAGCTGCACTCGGGCCCCATCTGACCTCCCCACCTCAGACATCACCTAGCTCCCTCCTCTGGCTTCTTTAAATCCATCTGACTGCTCAATCTGCCCACTTAGTCAACTGAATATAACAGTTTTGGTCCAGCGAGCCCCTTGCCCACTTTCTTGCCTTCAGCCCCGTCTCTGCTCTCAAACAGTCTACACCGCCCCTCCGCCCTCTCCTCCCACCCTACTGCATCCGTTACCATGGGGACTCTGCCCGCCTGCTGGGGACGCAGCTCCACAAAGGTCCCCAAGGCTGCCGGCCCCAGAGTGGTCTCCCCTTTCCTCCCCTCCCCTCTGCACAGCATTCGCCCCTGCTGGCCACTGCCCTCAGTGACACCTCCGTGACACCTCCTCTTCTGACCTCACCCCTCGGACGGGGCCTTCTCCATCTCCTGCCTTCCCAGGGGAGGTGACCCTCCAAGTCCCATCCCTGGCAACGGCAGGGTTGGCATGGAGCTCATCAAGCACCTGCTCAGCCCCCACCCCCCAGCCCCAATGTCAGCATTTAAAGGCGGGGACCCCACCCATCTTACCCACAGCACTGCCACAGGAAAGACCCCATTCAGTACCGAATGAATGAATGAGTGAATGAGCACAGGGCCCACCCTTTCAACTCTTGCCTGAGCAGTGACACCTTAAGGGCTAGAGGCTATGCAGACTCGGGGTGCCCATCCCCAGGATCTGCAGGGGCTGCTTCCGGATACCTCCCCATGGATACTGACACCCACTGAAGCCCAAGTCCCTTAGAGTGATGCTGTAGTATTTATGCTTAACCCATGCTCATCATTGTTAGGTAATTTATAACACTGCACTTAATACAAGTGCTATGTAGATAGTTGTGATGCTGCATTGTTTGAAAAAATAATGAGAAAAAGTCTGTACATTTAGTACAGTTGTATTATTTTCCAATTATTCTCAGTCTTTGGCTGGTTTGTGTCTGGGGATCTGGAACCCACAGACACGAGGGCTGGATGGAGACATGTGCATGCATGTACACTCTACCCACTCACATCCTCCATCCCTCGGCCACATACCCACCTTTATTTTTTTACACATACTATTTTATACCTTTCTTATTTCTCCTAGGAGTGAAACTTGAAGAGCTTGCAGCACTGTGAGGAAGGGGCCAACCATCTGTCTTTCCCGTGTGTGAAGCGGGATGCACACGTGTTCACAATTGCTATGTGTGATGGTGGGGTTATGGGGCACTAAGTTCCTTCATTTGTGCTGCTCTGTAGTTGGTCCACAGTGACATGTACTGTTATAGCCCTTGAAGGATTCCTAGCTGTAGGAAAGAACTAGGAGTCCCCAGCACCCCAGTCTCAGAAGTTTGGTGTTTTCCTGAAGGAGATTTTCATAAATTGGAGCACTTCTCCATTTAAGTACTATACAATCTCTAAAATGCATGCTCTCCTCAGTGTGGTCTCTGGCTGTAGAATCTGGGCAGCTCCCCCAGTGGTGACGGATCAGTGACTTTCCAACCATCAAGTGACATTTCTCATTTCAGCAACTCCCGGAAGTCAGGCGAGCAAAAAGATCAAGGAAACCCCTTGGCAGTGGTTGGGAAAGAATCAAAGCAAACAGACAGGGCTGTTGGCCCGCCTGGCCTTGCTGCAGAACTAGGGCTGAGTCCATGTCACTGTCACTCACAGGCTGCTGCTGCTCTAAACCCTTTGCATTGCCACAGGAGACCTGGAAGAGGGCCTGGTGTCCTGGGGTACTGTGTCCGGGGCCTCGGTCACCTTCACGTCATCAGTCTGGAGAACATTCCAGAACTTTCTAGGACCCCTGGAGGTGGGTCCAGATCTGGCACAGGCTCTTTGCAGAGGGGTCTCATGGGAAGTCACTCATTTCACACGCTAAGATGGTAACACGCATGTCAGAGCTGCAGTGTGAATAACCCAGACGACAAACGCACGTCTGAGTGGCTGACACATTACCTTGTAGACTTTTCTAATCTTGTAGAAGGCATGTGAAAGGTTTGGAAGTCAAAGTTGATTTTCCATTTCTTGACAATATGGAGAATTTTGCACGAAGACACCACCCCCACCCCACCCCAGGTCAGAGGGAATCCATGGGGGAGGCGAGCAATGCCTTCCAGCTGGGCGGCCGGAGGGCTGATTTTAGCTTGTAGGTAGGTGCTCAGTAAATTGAACTTTCCTCCTCTAGCAGGATGGGTCAAGTGGGTCAAACTCTGACCTGTGTCATTGTGGGGAGGATGTCACTACTCCTACTCTTCACCCGAGCGGGTGCCGTGGGACTGTTGGTTCAGGGTCGCTGAAAGGATGACCGGAAGCCAGGGCTCCAACAGCAGGGGTGGAAGGCCTGGAGGGCCCAGGTGAGGCGGTCAGCAGATCGTATTTCTCTGGAGCTTCTCTGGTGGCTGTGCCCATCTCTTCCTGGGCTCAGCCGGGCAGGCTTCTGCCCTCAGCACCTTCTCTCCCGGTCCACCCAGGCTTAATGAGCTGAGCACCATGAGGAAGGGTGAGGCGGGCACCCTGTGAGTGAGCACTGTGACTTCACAGAAGGGCTGATTCCAATCACCCGTGCAGGACCCCCCTGGGGTAGAGAACGATTCTGGCACATGAGTTAAGTGTTACACAAAACAGACGTGCGCACTCAAAATCAAAGGCGCCTCTCGTTCCTGTGAGAAGGCTCAGGCAGCGGCAGGAGAACGGGGCGCGTGAAGGTCCCGGGGGCGTCCACAGCAGGAAAAGCTCAGCACAGATTGGACACAGGGGGAGGCAGCCCGGCCGCCCATAACTCAGAGGTAGAAGTGGCGGGCTGATCTTCGCGCCGCCTGTTTCCTGTGTGCTCCGCCTCTGATCTCCGGTGCTTGCCTAATTGCTGCTGACTGGCTCTGGGCTCGGGGGTCTGCGAAATGTGTAAGGCCTGCGCTTTTCCAGGGGAGACTTTTTCCTTTGCGAGTGAGCCAAAGATTCCTGCATACACAAATTCTTTCTTACGCAGGTCATCGGATTCTTGTGAGGAGAACACTAATGCTGAGCCCAAGACACACCACTGAATACATGTATTTGCAGATCAAGATCGGGAGGCTCGAGGCAGCAGGGTGCAGATGCGCAGAGCAGTGACCTGCACACACGTCTAGGCTTTCTTACCCCAAGAAGTGCGAACTCACAGCCCAGTATCAGGCAAGTACGTGAAGTGGTTTCCTCCCGAGTGTGGGAGCAAACACCAGTGACCCAGTCCCCACTGTCACCAAAGGCACACACTTGAGAGTTTCTGAACAAAAATGCAAGCGGATCACTCTAACGATCACACCCGAGCCACCTCAGCATGCACACTGCCCCATTTAGCTAAAATAAAAATAAAAATAGTAACAAAGCTGGTTCCGACAAGTTAAAGAGAGGAAACATTACTATAGGAGGTTGGCAAACAGATTTTTTTTTAAGAAGCCACTTCCAGTTAATCATGGTGGTTGATACTTATTCAGCACTATGTGGTCATACAATGAATTCACTTTGCCCTATAAGGAAGTGCTACTGCTATTTTTACAGATGAGGAAACTGAGGCGAAATAACTTGCCAGGGTCATCGGAGCTGGGAGGTGGTGGCACTAGCGTCTGCTTGCTGAGCTCCTGCCTCCCAGTCCACAGCTACGGCTGGCCCAAGACGGTGCGCCAGGTCTGAGGGAAACTCAAGCTCAGCACAGGGACTGGCAGGAGCAGTCAGCGCATCAGGGGACTCAGACGTGGGATGGAAGCACTCATATGCGAACTGACAGTATTTAAAACAAAAGGTCCTGTGACATCTGCTCCATCAGAATATGCCTGTCTCATCTCTACAGAAAATTCCTCCTAGCTGTTGGCAGCATCTGACTGAGGTAACGAGAACTTTCCCAGCAGGCGGAGCACACAGCCTCCCATTCCTGGCTTCTCGTCCGCACCCGTGTTCACATCTTCACATCCTGACAGACTGAAGACCTACGTGGGACCTGTGAGATGCAGAGTCCGGAGGAGGGAGATCTGCAACCTCCAGCAACAGCTGCAGATGCCGAGCTTTCAGAACTGCAGCTGGCCTGGCCTGGGAGAGGGCTCCCCCAGGGCCACTAGAGGGGAAGGCAGGGCTTCCTTTGGGGCAAACCATCCCCCATGTGGCAGGCAGGCAGGCAGGCAGGTGTGAAGCTCAGGTTGATTTGGTAAATGATGAAAACCTGCCTGTCTTTGAGGAAAATAAAAAAATAGGCTGGATCTAGAGGAGAAGCAGGTTGAGCGCAAATGTGAATGAAATGCAAGTAACACTACAGACGTAGAGTAAGATTAGTAATCACCAGACAAAGAAAAGTGCATGGTACCAGGAAAGCTCATCTAACACAAGGACCAACAGGCAGCTGACGTTTCTGAGGCCACTGTAACTGTGTACTCGAGAGGTACTGCGGTCACTTGGTTATCCCGAAGATTCTCGAGGACAAATCTGCACAAGCAGAATCTAGGGACTCCTCTGAACTGCTTCATATAACATAGATCACTTTCCTACATGCCATCTGGTCCCATGGTTCTGAACGGAGGGCAGTTGTGTCTCTGTCGCACACAGCATGCCCTAGCAAAGGAAGCCCCAGCCCACAACGTCAGCGGGAGCTCAGATGGAACTTGGTCCAGTGTGATGCCTACACACTCGGGAAGCAAAGCTAAGCCTCGTTGTTTAGCATGCAGCAGGCACTCTTCTGAGTGCTGCACTGGCCTCGTTCACTCAGCACCATGCTAGGGGCTGGCGAGTCTCCTCAGTGCGCCCCCTGAGGTGAAGTGACAGTGAGGGAGGGCTGCCCTTGGACACAGGAGGAGCTCGAGCCTGACAGCCACATAGAGCACGGGGGCCAGCGCTTCGCCCACGTCAGGGCTCCCTGACTTGTGGCAGGGTTGAGAAACCCCACACCAATGCCCCACAGCCCTGGGGGGCCGTGCTGCACCCAAACTACAGCTGACAGCTGCTACACGGAGGGAGGAGGTGCCGCACAGCGCCTTGAGGACCTGGGCAGCAGGCTGGGGCCTGAGCTGGGGCCACCAGGCAGGGCCTGCAGGTGGGGTGGAAAGGGGGCTGTAGGAGCAAGAGGAAGCTCAGGGCCCAGCATCAGACACCAAGTGGTTAGCTCCAGGGAGCGGCCACACTCGAGATTGCGGGAGAAGAGCCTCCGGGTGACTCTGGGTGACTTGCTCCTGGGCCAGAACCCTGCACAGGGTCTCCGGCCCGGACAGGGGTCCCAGGACTTGCTCCAGGGTGGGAGGCGGCCCAGTCCGATGTGCTGCTGCAGGGGCAGCTGTGTCTAGCAAAGAGGAAGCAAAGCAGTCGGCCAGTTCCCACAGGGGGCACTTTGGCACCCCTGAAGATCCAAAGGCTGGGAGATCGTGGATCCAAAGCTCTTCCCGAGGCTGATAACTCTGGAACCGCCTGCAGGGCTCCATCTCCACAGGTTTGGGGAGGGCCCAGAAATGCTCAAGGAATACTGAGGCTGTCGCTCCAGGGGCCACACTTTGAGAACCATCTCAGCTCAGTCAGGTGACCCCACATCTCAGAGACCGTGAGGGCATCGTGAGTTTTCCCAGGTTCTTCAGATACAGTGCTCAACAGGAGAGAGTGTTCGGAGGCAAACTCACCAAGCCGCCACTCAAGTTACACTAGAGGAGGAGGCAAACTTCACCCCAGCATCCAATACAAGGGATCTGGGGCCCGTCGTCTGTTTGAATCCACTCACACCCCTCCCTGCCTCCAGCACTGGGGATGGCTGGGAGTAGAGCCGACAAAATTTATGATGCATGGGACGACAGCTATTAGCTGGACTTGAGAAGTGCGCAAACCCCTCTGACTGTGTGAGAGCTGCTAGACTCATGAATTTCAGGTCATTCTGGAATTTTCTGCTGACGCCCTGATCCCAAATTTGATTTGCCCACATAAATCTCTTAGTTGCTCCTGGAGCCCGAGTCTGAACTCAAACCGGCAGCCTGGCATGGGCAGCAGACAGTACCCACTTAGCTAGGGTGGCACCCCACACATCCTCAGAGCTCCCTCTTCACAGTGTGACTTAACTGCCCCACGCTTGGCCCCGTGGGCTGGCATAAAAGTCCAGCTTTCAGTCAAGAAAGGAAACCTGCGACATTTACTCCAAGACACATATGGAGTAAATATGGATGGTAAAGAGGTGCTATTTTTACAGTCGCTTTTCTGACCATCCGTTTCACAGCGGAATTATTCACAGGTCTCTGAAACTCTTCTCTCTCCTGCAGGGGCTGGGAAGGGACGGCCCGGCGGCCGGCGCTGCGTGCTCGCTCAGGAGGCTCATTACTGCAAATAAAGCAGCTGAAAACTATCCCGTTCTGCAGCACCCAATCAAGGGCTCTTTTCTTCTTAAACCCTTTCCGCCCTCGCCCCACATGGAAGCACTTTGGGACCTGATGCCAGGGGCTCCGTGAAACACGCTGGGCTGCTGTGCTGACGACAGGCCTCGCTTTGAAGTCAGTGTAAACGGTTGTTCCAGGAGGCGCCCTCCGATTCCCCCTCCTGCCACAGCAAGCGGGTGGCTTCCACCGACTCCCTCTCCCACAGGACTCCGGGTTGCCTGCCCTGACTCTGGCCCGATCCAGCCTTCTCCCCCCGCAGGGCTGCTGCCAAGGGTTCAGAACGGTGATGGTTAGGATGCTTGGAATGGGTGACATTTGTCAGCACCTACTGTGCGCCAAGCCCTCTGGACGCATCGGCTCCCTCCACCTTACCAAGAGCTCTAGGCACTGCTACCACGGGTCTTCTATTCCAGAGATGGGGCAACATCTCTATGAAGTGAAGAGAACGCGGCATAGGTTTAGAGCCCTATTCTGCGCCACCTCATCACCCGGTTGGTATGTTAACACGTGCTGACACCTAGCATGCATTCAGACAAGTGGAAAACCCTACATGTGTGCAGCTCAATGAATGGTTGTACCGTGAACACACTCCGAGAATCAACATTCAGGTCAAAAAAATATTAGCAGCACCCTAGAGTCCTGTCCCCAGCCACCCCTCCTACACAGAAAACTGAGAGCAAGCCTCCTTGTATCACAGATCAGTTTTGAGCTTGAAAGGGACCGATGCAGTATGTATTCTTCTGAGCCTCCCTTCTTTTTTGTTTGGTATTACATTCGTGAGATTGCCTATGATGTGTATGTAGTGGCAATTCATTTCTCACTACCGTAAAGGGTTTCAGTTGACACAGCAGTTTATTCTGCTAATAGGCAGGGGTTATTTACAACTAGGAGTTTGTATTAATCACCTTTCCTGGACAAAATACCTGACAAACATTACTTAGAAAAAGTTATTTTGACTCATGGTTTGAGGCTTTAGTCAACAGTCAGCTGCTCTGAAACAGAAAATCCTGGCAACAGGCAAGGTGGGGGAAAGCTGCTCACCTCATGGCAGCCAGGAGGCAGAGAAAAAGGGAAGAGCCAGAGAGGAAGGGGCCAGGCCAAGTTACAGCCTCATAAGCCACGCCACCAGTGACCACAATACTTCCTCCAGGTGGGCCCCACCTCCCAGCAGCCCATTTAGCTCTGAGCTCCTGCGTGGGTTAATCCACTGGTGAGGGTAACGCTTCACAATCCAGTCTGGGCCCTACTGCTGAACAGTGCAGCCTGAGGATCAAGCCCCAGTCCTGGTGTCCTCAGGGCACACTTCAGATTTACACCATCAACAGGGCTGTGACATGTCGCTGAGGGATCGTCTTGACACACACTGGCTAATAACACAAACACATCTCTGCTGGGACAGATGGAACTGCAGGTGCGTTTAGCATAGGAGGTTTCAAGGAAGCTCCCCGACCTCCATCCCAAGCTCCTAGGGCAGAGAAGCTGAGCTGGTCCCAGAACCTGGAAGGAAGCTTCCCTGATGCCATCCCAAGCTCCTAGGGTAGAGAAGGTGAGCCTTGCGGGTGGCAGAAGCCCCCCCGCCGCCGCCCCCGTGGAAATAAGACACATAAACAAGCCTCAAAAACAGACTTCCAGATCACCTACAGCAACCCCAACCGGAAACGAGATGAAACAATCTGATACTCAACCACCTGGACTCTCTGAACTGGCAACAAAAGAGGATCTCGGAAAAATGAAATCAGAAATAATTACTCAGATAACAGCAAAGATTTTGCTCATGGTGCAAGACATGATTAATAAATCTAGAGAGGACACAGATAAAAAAATAGAGGATCTGAGGAACATGATGGAATCCCATCATAGGAAACAAATAGAAGGGCTGGGGATTTAGCTCAGTGGTTCCACCGCCTGCCTCGCAAGCACAAGGACCTGAGTTCGATCCCCAGTACCAAAGAAAAAAAAAGAAAATTGGGCCTGGGATTTAGCACAGTGGTTTCACTGCCTGCTGCACAAGCACAAGCACCAGAGTTCAATCCCTGGTACCAAAAAAAAAAAAAAAAAAGAAGAAAGAAACAAATGGAATCCATAAAACAGATACAAACAGATTTCCAAGAGATTGAAAACTCCATCAAGAGTCTGCGCAGCAGAATGAACCAATGTGAGGATAGAATTTCACACACAGAAGATAAGATTGCAATTAGTGAGGAGGAAAAGAAAAACTGCTTTAAAATTGTAAGGGAACACAAGAAATCAATCCAGCACAGCTGCTAGATGATGCAAAGAAGAATAACATAAGACTGATTGGAGTCAATGAAGAAAGAGGAGAGAGTGCAGATGACATAAAAAACTGTTCACAGAAGTGATGGCAGAAAACTTCCCAAGGAGGGGAAAAGAACTTGACATACAGATAAGTGAGGCACATAGGACTCCAGCTAGCCTTAATCAAAAAAAATCTAGCATTGGAGATTTCAACAGGAGTCCAGACCATGCTGCTAGGACTGCACAGGCCTTGAGGGGATGATGGACAGAACTGTGTCTTCTCAAAAGTCCTGTGCTGAAGCCCTAACTGGAGTGACCTGTCCAAGAATCAGGCCCTTAAGGAAGTCGTTAAGGCTGGTGCTGTCCTCAGAGTGTGACTGGTGGCCTTGCAAGCAGAGCCATCCAGGCATGCTCTCCCTAAGTGAGGGCTCCAGGGAGGTGGCTGACAGCAGCTAGGAAGAGCCCTCATGAGACGCCAACGCTGCTGACACTGTTGATGGGGACTAAGCCTCTGGTGTCGTCCAAGCCACTTCATCTGTGGGATTTGCTGCGAGAGCTGAGCTGACGAAGGAAGGAGGGCTATGCTGGCCTCGCTGGAGAAGACTTGGAGCCTGGTTTTGTCTCCTGGGCCCTTTCGTTCTGCCCGAGCTCAGGCAGGAGTCACAGTCTCTTAGTGGCTTTGGATTGGGCTGACTGATTGAACCCAGGGCCTTCATACTGAGCTATATCCCACCCATTATTTTTTAAATTTTTGAGACAGGGGTGAGGTGAGTTGTCCAGGTGAGCTCAAACTTGTGATCCTTCTGGCTCGGTCTTCCCCAGTGCTGCACCACTGTGCCTGGTTTGGCATGTGGGTTTCTAGGGGCCTTTCAGCCTCGTTCCTGTGTCGTCTCTAACTCAGCAAGGCCCGAGGGAAACATGCTTTGTAGGTGACCTGTAAAGAGCTACTGCATTATTACTGGAAATGGAAATTGAACTGGTAGTTTTTAAAAAGAAGAAACCATAAATAACTTTTAAAATTATAATAGGACTGGGCCAGGGATTTAGCTCAGTGGTTCCACCACCTGCCTCGCAAAGTGCAAGGACCCGAATTCTATCCCCGGTACCCAAAAAACAAAAAAACTATAATAGGACTAACTTGCCAATTCTGTTTTAATTGAAGTATTTTTTAGAGACAGCTATTCAAATGTAGTACCTGCCGGTTTTTGAAATTTGTGGTACTGTACCTGTCAGGTTTTGTCAACCTGACCCAAGTGTTTCCCCTGAGGAGGTCACGATCCACACCCCAGACTTTCTAGGTCTTGTGAACTTGGTATCTTGAAATTTTCTAGGTTAGGCAGAATTTCTTAGGTTAGGTGGACTCCTCTTAAAATGGTCAGAATGACCTTGCATGGTTTTTTAAAGAAGGTCTATTTATAAGAAATATGACCACCCAGTTACATTTGAATTTAAAAGAAGTTTCACTTTTGGTGACTGAAAAATACGAAGAAACCAGAACAAAGCCCTAAGTGAGGATGGGGGTCCGGGAGCCCTGCCATTCCCCATCAGTGGCATGGTGCTGGGGAGCCACTCGGCGGCCCAGTGCCTCAGATTCTTCCCAAACTCACCTGTGCAGCACGGGTTTCCCAGGCTCCCTCCCGCGCACAGACAGGGGCAGCTGTCTTGCTGGTCAGGGCCCAGCGCTGTGACTGGCTGGCACACCCTGCCGCCTCTGCCAGACTGTGCAGCTTGGGGCAGAGGCCACGTCCTGCTGTTCTGACCCTTGGTCCGGTGTCCAACACCGAATGACTAATGAGGCCCCCACCAGCACCAGTACCAGCACACTGCCAGCCCCCTTCCCAGGGACCCTGAGGCCTGCAACCTGATGTGCTACAATGTGCCACACGTGGCCAGGCACAGCACCTTCTGCTGGGTCGGCAGGCACAGCTGCCACAGAGTGCGAGTCACAGTTTAGAGAACTTCAACGGCCCTCGACACAGCAGGACTGTAATGAATCTTTCTGTGCCAATGCTGGGCGGGAGCAAGGAGGGCCGGGTGCCCAGGGTGGGGCACTCGACCTCTCTGCTGCCCCGGGGAGCACCCTTCCTGCTGCTGGCCCAGGACGCCTTCTGCTGGGGCTCCCGAGGCTGCCCTTGGAGCGCTCTGGACGCGCCACCCTGAGTCACTAACGGCTCTGAACATGCACTGCAGCGTGTTTAACTCGGTTGACCCCATTCCTCTGCCTCTTCTGACACTGAAGTCCGATTCTTGTTGGTGTCTAACACCTGCTAACAACCTTTTCAAGGCGACACACTGGATTGGGAATGAGACTCCAGAGCATGACTCAAACTTCTCCAGCTGTTATAAATAATCAGTACAAATATTTACCTGGTTTCAGGGCAGAACAGTTAAGAACAAATCAGAAACGTGTAAGGAAGGCTGCTAGATTAAAAACGCAAATATATCCTGACAGGAACGGGAGAGCAGAAATGAGGAAGTACCCAAAATGATGAAGTCCTGTTCAGGCATTTAATAAACATCATTTCATGGTCCGATCAGGGAGGTTCCGGACAGTAGGGCCGCGCCCACAAAAAGACAGCCTTGCTTAGCAAGGGTGGGAGAGAGGACTCCATCCCACCAAGATTAGCAGCACAAAGTCTGGGCGGGTCCAAGACAGCCCCTCGCCTGTCCCCTCCCTCCACATCCGGCTCAGCATGGTGGCGGCTGACAAGTCACGTGACCCACTCATCCTCCGAGAGTCAGAGAACGGTGGGGCAGGCGAGCTGAAGACTTCCTGGGGACCGCGTGCCCCGTGGGACGTGGATGGCTTTCTCCCTGAGGCTCAGGGCTCCTGCCTGGTCAGCTGTCTCAAACACAGGAAACTTCTCCATCAGCTCAGCTCCTTCTGGTTTTGAGAGAAATGCAGCAGAGGAGCTATCCCCAGGGGCAGAGATCAGCCTGGTCCCCTGCTCTTCGGCAGCCTCATTCATTGTACTTGGACAGTTTCAGCCGGGGGATGATGTTCATGGACTGCAGCTCCTGGAAGAGCAGCTTGCAGGCGTAGGGGATGCGCAGAGAGGACACATGGCATGAGGACTTGCAGTAGTGGCACCTGAAACTCAAGGTGGCAGTGTCAGAGTGAGGGTGGCAGCAGACAGAGGCCTGCACATAAGGCGCGGGCATCTGATCTACAGAAGCCTCCGCAGGACCCGTTATTTCTCCATTCCCAAGTGCTCAGTCCTATCACCAAATATGAACTCCCGTGCCCGGGAGACAGAAACAGCCAAGGAGGCGAAATGAAAAGCACAGCCATCGTTCCTGCCTGCAGTCTTCACAGCACCCGACTCGGATCAGCTACTGTCTGTCTAGACCTTTCTCTTTAAAATGCAAAACATCTGCCTGTAAACTGCTTTGAAAGAGCCCCAGAAATCTGAACCACCGGAAATTGAGGGTCAGATCTACACTGCCAAGTTCTCAACCAATGCAGTCAACGTCCCTTACTTGGTAAGCACCCACCACGCTAGTGTGTTACTCTATACAGGATGCTCACTATTATCCTCCCCTTTCTGTCACTCTGACGCAAAAGCAAGACTTGTGTGGAGGAAAGGGGCATCTGCCCTGGGGCTTGCAGGTACAGTTATTCCTGTCAATGTGCTGTCTCTCTGGTAAAACAAAACCAAGGAATGTGTGCGTGTGTGCGCGTGTCCCTGCACAATCCCAACAGCAGGCTCCTGACCGGTGCATTTGCTACTCCGCTCAGATTATCTTCGCTCTTCCTTCAGCAAGGGCCAGGGAACAGTGCTCAGGTCTTAACGACTGCAACCAAGAAGGTTCCAGGGAAGAAAGCAAATTATCCATTTTGGGGTTCAGACCAAAAACAGGACCTCACAAGACTGTTCATGGCCACACTATTTATGAGAGCATAAAGCAGGCGACTCCTCGAATGCTCCTGGCAACTGGCTGCGGGGACAGGACAAGTACACAAATGCACACTGCACAGCCACGAAACATGCCAGTGTAGACTCACACCTACGCGCGTGTGTCTGGGACACAACATGCAACGAGAAAGCAGTGCTCAACAGGCTGGTCCCAGAACACTTGAAAAGACTTTAATGCTTTAGTGCTATTATTAGAGCTCACGATTTTTTTTTAAAAAGATGAAAATTAAAGAAGTACAGGCAACCATAGATGTGCCAAGGAACTCACTAAAATGTTAACAGTGGTCATCCTGGGTAATGGAAATTAATATGACCGCTGCCTTATATTTTCTGTAAGTTCTGAATATCTTACAATGAGCAAGGATTACTTTTTACAACCAGCAAAATAAAGTTTTATCTTAGGGAAGAAAAGCAAGCACTGTGGCTGGGCCTGTGTGCATGCATCTGAGTGACCCTCGGAGACAGGACATCCTGGGGAGGGACAGAACAGGACAGACCCACGGACAGGAACGATGTAAGCGTGCAGACGACACAACTGACGTCTCCATGTGCCTGGTGGCCCTGGCTCACTTGGGAGACACCTCACGCTCTGACTGTTCTGGGGACAGGGGCTGCACTGGCGAGCTACCTGAGACTCTGTCAGCACCTGACACTGGGACCCCACTCTACGCTAACTCTTCAGAAGGCCACACGTGCGGATCCTGCTCTGGGAAGCACGTCCATCTTCTCTATCATTAACCACCTCCCGGTCCTCAGAGCTCAAAAGGCCCCAGTGCTACCTCTGCACGTCTACACAGATACACACATGTATCGTTCATATGTGTAGATTACCCCACAGCGGGTCTGAAAAACTCCCACAGGTAGAAACTGGACCTAAGCAGCAGTAGAATCGGCGGGTGTTTAGCACAGAAGCAGCCTAAGGAGGCGGCTGGCTTTACAGAAGCGGTGGCTGTCCAGTGCTATGTCCCTGTGAGCTAATTATCTTAATAGGGGTTCTCTTTTGTGACTTTTGCTGCCCTGTCTCTGAGGAGCAACCGTCCAGTGTAAACCTCTGCAGTGCGGGCTGGCTAATGCGCACATCGCTGGCAGAGCTGTCCCAAGGTTCTGCACTGCTCTAATTACTGGGCCTCCATTGTGCAGCTCATTAAAGGGTGACTTCCTGCAGCCCACTCGGTGCCCGCCGCCCCTCCTGCCCTCTCACGAAGTGCCCATTGGAGCAGGCGGGAGCATCACTACACCCTCAGCAGGCAGCCACCAGCCCACTGGAATGGACTCGGATGCTTTCTGCTGGCAATGGGGGATAAGCAGGCCACTTGCAAGCAAACCCAGCATACGCTAAGTTCTGACTAATTACAGTAACGACCCTCACACCCTACCGGATCTAGGCCCCTTCAAAAGATTTCACACACAAAGCACTCAACACAAGCTTCCCATCCAGCACTGGCTTGCACGATCCACATGTGAGACCAGAGAAGCAGGAAAGACACGGAAATGTGGGGAGCCAACCACCTCGTAAGGTCGCCTGTGGCCAGCAGTGCACCAGCGGAGAGGGGGTTCCAAGGGTCAGAAAAGAAAACCGAACTATTTCTGAAGTTGCACAGCCCCCATTTTTAATGGTATGGCTCTTCTGTACCACCCTTTCAAAGCGAGTTACTTAAAAACCCTTGTGCCAAATTTGAAGATTTAAGCATAGTGCAACTAGGTCCCTGGCATCTTCCTATTATGCTATTTCTTTTCTTTCTTTCTTTTCTAGTTACACAGCCCAGACTATGAAAAGCAAGCCCAATATGCATTTCAAAAGCCGAATAGACATCTCTGGACTGAAACAAACCCCCATCTCACTGCTATAGAAAGAGCGAGGCTTATTCTCACAAGAATGTCACCCATCTCTGCACCCTCATGAAAAGAACTGCAAGTGGCCACCTCTTCTGTAGCTCCTAAACCGAAACCAGGCCTCCGCAGCAGGGCTCATCGACTCCTCCACACCAGAATCACAGGGTAATTCACGGAAGCTCTGGGCCTTTAGCTAGCAAGGCGTACACTGTGTTCTGCTTCTCCACTTGCTTTATTCACTCAAGACGCTGGCAGCTTAGACGGCAAGAGGCCGGGGCTCTGTCTGCAGCGTGTGCGGGAGAAGGGGCCCTGGCGCTCAACCCCGCCTGAACGTGCACCTGGGCCCACAGCCCTGTAGGCAGAGGCTCCGGGAAGATGCCCATGCAGGTGGGGCTGTCCTGGCCTTGTTAGGTCTTCCCTCTCACAAAGAGGGAGTGGAAAGTGGGACCGGTGGGCTGTCCTGCCTGCAGGAGGATTTTAGGGCTTGAAGTCACAGCTGACCCTAAGAAGAGCCTTTGCTCTTTGGTGGCAGAGAACCATCCCTAACGGGAAAGGTGCTACAACTACACCAACACAAGCATAGCAGGGAGCACCCGTCCTCCAGGCCAACGCTACAAGCAATCCTAAGCTGCATAGGCCGTGTGGCTTACTTCCTGGCCACTCAGAAATGAGTCTTTAGGAAGTGCCCACAGGTCCCAGGATGGAGTGGCCATCAGAACGGATGCAATCGGAACAGACCAGAAGGCGAGCTCTCTCCCTGCGTCAGCCTCGCTCGCTACTGTGCGGTGGGACCCAGTCCTGATGGTGCTGCATGAATGATGGACAAAGACGGCCCTGTCCGTCCAGGCTGTGGCAGCTGCCATCCGTCACCCCCATCACTCACTCTAAGACTTGGGCGACACAGCTGATTCTGGGGCTGAAGGTACAAATAAGGGCGTGTGACAGTTTCTCTCAAGAGCTTCCTTAGCAGGCTGTGATTCTAACACGGAGGACGCATCTGCTGGGAGTGTCATGGGGAGCAGTGTTTACGAAATGCACCTGAGGTAATATTAAATAAACAAGGAGACAGAGCCTGGACTCCCCGGGAGCTCCACCTCAGCTGGCATGAAGGCAGCTCGGTACGCAGACCGAAGAGCACGTACACACAGAGCCCCGACTGCAAGGCAGGCAGCAGGGAGGCACGCCAGTGACCCAGGAAAGGCGGGAGGCTCCTGTGGTTCCGGCCCCGGGGATTCTGAGCTGGGACTGACGTGGCGCGGGCGGGCCCAGAGGCAGAGAGCCACTCACCAGCCGGAGTAACCCAGCAGCCCACACTGGCCGCAGACATCCACCTCGAAGGCGTCGCTGGAGATCATCAGCCTCTCCAGCAGCAGCATGCTGGCTCCGTAGCCAATCAGACAGTCCCGCTCCATCTCTCCAAGACGTAAGCCGCCATCCCGGGATCGTCCTTCAGTGGGCTGCCTTTGGAACAAGGTGTCACGTAAATGTGTTAACTCGTAAGCCAACAGAGCACTCACCGCACGCAGACGCAGAGCTTGGGCTCTGGATCTGACCTACATGGCTGGCAGCTCGGCCTCTCAGCTCATCTGGAAACATGTGGAATGCCTGTGCCGAAGCCTTCCATGGGGAAAGCTGGCAGTTGTCAGGAAATCAAAACAGCATAGTCTTAGAATATTTATTACGTCACAGAATGATGTACGGTCCACGAAACACCAGTGCCAGCAGCACCGTCACCAGCAGATGGCTGGGCAGATCTTGGTTGGAAGTCACACTGGGAAATCAAGGAAGCCGTGGATTACTTGCTGAAAGGACATCTATGCTGAACAACTCACAGGCAGGCCTGAATGAACAGGTGAGAGTGGAAACTTCACCCCTGAGCATGCATCTGTCACCTGGGGTGACGGGGTCACCAGGCGGAAGGGAGGAATCAAAACTTGGGAAGGATGACACCTGACGAATGCCCTGAAGACAGGCTTTCCATGGGAGACAGGAGAGTGCAACAAAGCATAATGGGGCAACAACTGCTCTGACACTGAGGCTACTCTGAAGTGGCTTTTGGATATTGTGACTGACATGGAAGATGAGGAGGGGACAGAATTTAGGGAAGGAGCACACCTAGCCTGTGCAGGGTCCCACTGCTGAGGGGACCTCTGCCTGAGATCCTCAAGGTCTTCTCTCCGGGACCTTAAGCACCTGTATGTCTACTATTCCAAGAGACTGTGCCTTCACGCGGGTGATGGTCAGGCATTGCATTGTCAGCACCTCTCCTGGGCATAAAAACCCCCAGCTGCCTGGTCCCTCCCTGATACCATCCCAGCCATGCTCAGGGCAGGCTGGGCAGGGCCCGGGCACTTGCTGAGCATCTCCCAGAGTGGAGTGGCACAAGGCCTGCTCTCTCCCTGCCAGGCCTAGTCACCTGCACCTACAACAGCAGCCCTAAAGCTGAGAGGGGCTCATCTGTCCAGGCCCTGGCAAGTGCTGAGAATGGAGACAAGGCCACGTTCCGTCCACCCGGCCCTGGGACACCCGGAGCTGGGAGCACCTGGCTGGGAGGGCGTGCCTGTTCCTGCCTGACCTCCGTGCAGCGATGCTGTGACGACCGGAAACAGTCCCTGCCCAGTGTTCCCAGGGGGACAATGCCCTGCTGCAAAGGGCAGCACTGAGGGCCGGTGAAACATTGGTCAGCCTCGGCACTACAGCACTACAGCACAGGGGGTCCAGGATGCCCAGGACGACAGCCTGTGGGTGCTCAGGCTCCTCTATACAATGGTGTGGAGTCCATCCGCCAGATGCACTCTTGTGCTGCTCGAAAAAGGGTCGGAAAAGCACACCCGTAAGTGTGTGGTTGTTTGGCAAACACTGAGTGTACTGACCAAGGCCTGTGTGGGATGGGCAGCACACACCCTGGCTAGATGATCCTGTGTGTGTGCACAATGTGTGTGTATGTGTGTGAGAGAGAGAGAGATATACAGCCCACACTGTTCCCAGGACCAGGATGAACGGAACACAAAACTAAATGTGGCACAGGAGTAACTAAGATGCCTGAGGCTGCTGTTACCAGCACACGAAGTTTACAGGAAATGTACCAGTAAGCAGGAGCACACTGCAGACTCATGATGAAGGACAGCACGGCAGACCCCGAGCCCATGACAGTGGCTTAGCATGACTGTCAAGTACCGTCTGCTGCACACCGCTGCTCTGGGCAGGTTCTCCCAGCACGGGCAGCATAAGGGGTGGGCATGCCAGTCTCACCACCGACAGGCGAGCCACACCATGACAATCTCAGGACAGCCCCACGGCCCCGAGGTGACAAGGATTTTCCAGATCGACGGCTGCCCCGTGACCGACTGAATCATCACATCGGAGACACGAGAGTAGCCGCCGCACTGTAGTGTTGAGGGAACGTGACAAAACACTGCACGTTCAGAGCAGGTTCAGTCTCTGCCCCACACTTCTGCTCTGAGGCTGGCCGATACGCGTGTTTGTGTGGGTCAAGAGGGCTGACTGCAGCTGCAGTTCCCTTTCCCACCGGAACACACACCACGCTGCACTCACACACCATGGCTCACTCCTGCAGGGGACTGGAAGAGGCACGAAGAGGCACGCAAGGGCAGGGCCTTGGGCTCCAACAACAGTGATCCAGCTGCCACATGACCGTGTGTTGGGGGCGCGCTGCGCCTTTCCGAGAAGGGCCACGGTCACCAACAGGGACACACAAGTGGCTGTGCTGGAGCCCGGCAGTGAGGCTGACAGCAGGTTTGCTCTTGGCCTGTGAAATGCATTTAACTGCCTGACATTTCTCTGCACGTTGGTTATAAGTGCATGACTTTTCTTAATGGCTAAGACCTGCCTTTTGACGTTTCGGCACACAGAATCCTCACCGAATCTGCCTAAGGTGTCGATCAGGCAAGGCGGAGCTGACTTGGACTCCTTTGTGGCCGCTCCTCTTACCTGGTGAGGACGGCGCGCGGCCCTCGGGCCCGGGCATGCATCTTGTCCAGCACCATGTGCTTCAGCTTCTGGTAGTACACGGGCCCAAAGTAGATGTACGCTTCCAAGGGCTCCCTGGAAGAGAGGTTGAAGCTGGGGTTAGGAGACCGAGCTGGCCTTCCGAGGACCCTCACAACACGTCCTGGCTCACAAAGGGTCCCTGGCTCGGTATGAGGGATTTTCAGTTGACACAGCCAGAGAAAAGACAGGCGGTTTCACAAGTGAAACAGGGTGGCAGTCCAGGGCAGCCCCACCTTCCTGTCACCACCCTCTCCCTCCTGGTGCACGCAGATCACCCCCTGGCTGGTCTTCCTGCTCCCACACTTGTCCCTCAAGAGTCAAGCCTCCATATACCACGCGGGAGTCCCTCTAATGTCTCTGCACAAGGATACTCCACGCCGAACTCCACAACACGCAACGCATGTTGCCAGAACCCTGTAACACGGCCAGAGCACCAAACACAATTGTTCCTGCCCACCTCATATTTACTGCTCATGGCCCTCACGGCCCCTCTCCTCCAGAAACACTGGCCTCATAACCCTCGGATGCAGCAGGCCCAGGGCCTCATCTGGGACATTCTCACCAGGGTGAACTTGGCCCTGTTAACAGCGCAGTTCCACAGAGAGCCTCCCTGCCGGCCTTTCCCAAAGCAGCCCCCTGCCCTCCTCAGCGCTGACTGCTACTGGAGTACTGTGTGCTATTTCTCTGGTGTTGCCCGTCTTTCCCACAAGGAGCAAACTGCACAACTGTCAGCCCCGTGTCTCCTCTGTCACCATGACTCTAGCACCTCTGACCCTGTCAGGGACACCACTGGTGCTCAGCAAACCTTTGTGACAGCGACTCTCTGGATACCTGCAGTGAGAGTTTGAAAAAAGAACACACAGAGACCAGAAAAATAAAAGAAAAACAAATCCCTTCCTTTAAATTCTCCCTAGTCCTTTTCTTTTGGTACCAGGGATTGAACTCGGGTCCTTGCGCAGCAGGCGGTGAAACCACTGGGCTAAATCCCCGGCCCCACAAACCCCTAGATGAGGACCCGTGGGCCACAGCAGGCTGAGGGGAGAACACAGGACGCCATGGCTCCAGACGCTGCAGCTGCGTACCCGGCCCTGCTCACTCACACCTGCACCACGCCCGGTGTCGCCAGCCAGCCCCAGGCTCGGGTGGGCCAGGCCGGGAGCCCAAGGGGTGGGAGACACCAGGGCGAGGGCATGGTTCTGCCACACAGACACCGTGCTGTCTCTCTTCTTGGTGTACAGAAAGGGCAAGCAGCCCGAGGCCCTGGCAAGTGCCAGCACAGGCCGCTTTCGCCCTCTGTAGCCAGCCGCTCCTGGTGGATTAATGGAACCCAGCTGGTTCCATCATCCACTGACAATGCCACTTGCAGTCTTCCTCCCAGCGGTGCTCACGATAAACCAGGGGTGAAGGCCGGGCGAAGGTGGGACCTGTGGTCTCTGAGCTAATGTGCCAGGCAGTGCCCCTCAGACGCCGCCATGGAGAAGGTGGCAAAGGCAGGGGCCTGGCTGAGGGCCGGGAGGCAGCACAGACCATGCAGGACTGACACTGCCCACGAGCATGTGGCTTCCGGAAAAATGAGCCAGGAAGCCCACCAACCAGAGCCTGAGGCTCGGCACCCTATGCGGCCGACCGCTGAGGCATTTCCAGGAGGAGACTGAGAGGATCTGCTCAGAAGTGACAACCACCTTCTGACAGGGAGCCCAGCTATCTCACCGAGCCACTGTCTGAAATGGACCATCCGTCCTTCCTGCAGTGAGGGTTGCGCTCCCAGCCCTGGGGTGCTGCACCTGAACAAGTCTGTCCTGTCCTGTGCCAGTCCGGGGGCCTCGGTCACAGCGGGAGCATCTGTCTCCATGGCACTTCTGTCCAGCTGTGTGGCCTCGGCCATGAGTCCAGCTGAGCTCCCCCGGGGCCCGGGCAGCTTCTAACCTCAGAGCAGAGAGCGGGCACCGCGTCCCGGAGCTCCATGCGGCACGCGCTAAGTGTGACCCTTCAAAGCCCTCGTGAGCCCAGTCCCCCAATCTGTTGACCACACGACTGCAGGCTCTGGCCCCACAGGCCGACGGCCCCTCTGCCTGGCCAGCGCGGCTCCTCCTCTTCCGCACCCTCTCTGCGGGCGGGGACCTCTCCCGGCTCTTGGCACTGGCAAGGTGGCAGACACCCTTTCTGCCCGCCCCCCCGGAGCTCAAGCCTCTGCGGTCCGCGGGCTGACGCCCTGCCTGCCTCACTGGTGCTCCGCATGGCCTCACCCGGAGTGTCTTCGAGTGCTGCCCCGGGGCGGCCCTGCGTGGGCACAGCGGCCAGAAGGGTGCGGAGCCACAGCGTCAGGGACAGCGAGGCTTTGGGTCTGACAGTGACGAGGGCCCTGCACAGCAGGCAGGCTGGGACCGGGCAGCGCTGGAGGCGGTTTTAGGTCAGGCCCCACCGAGAAGCTGCCTTCTGTCAGTGACTTTAACGTCTAGTAAGAAATCTAAATGGCCAGCACTACAGGCTGGGGCCTGTGTTTTCTCTGGGGTCATATACTCGATCGCAGTACTTATCAGGTGCTTTACTGAACAAGGGCAAATGCTAGACCTTAGGCTACAAGTACTGTCTAAGCACCAATTATCTCACATTCACCACACAAACCCTAAGGACACTCGACAGTTAAGGAGAATCCTTGTATCATGTACAACTGGTTTGTTCCTTAAAAGTAAGGCCAAAAGCATATTTTGATGGATTAAGTCTTTACGTTGCTCAGCCTGGCCTCAAACTCATGGTCCTCCTGCCTCAGCCTCCCGAGTGCTGGGTTTTTGAGTGTGCACCATCACACTGGCTTTCTACCTTTTTTTTTTGGTCCCGGGGATCGAATTCGGGACTTGTTTTTGCAAGGCAGGTTGCAGAACCACTGAGCTAGATCCCCGGCCCGGCTTTCTACTTTTTAAGCTGCAGCCGGACCCACACAAACAGTGCTCCTCCTCCGTTTATCAGTTCTCCAAATCTGGATTTTCTTGTATCGGAGTTCTTAAGACACTAAAGCTTTCTCCTTGAGGCCAGCACCTCAGGCTCAGCCCTCACAGGACACACACAGAGCCCACCCTAATGGCCCCTCTCCTCACAGAGGCTCTGCGAGACACACTCACCCGGTGATGCCGGAGGTGACGTAGTCCTTCCCCAGGTAGTTGTACCCATGGCGGACGAGGTCCTCACACACATCCTTCACCTTGCTCCCGCCGAACGCAGTGCCGTAGTGGAACCTGCCATCCAGCACGCCCGCCTTGCCGGCCAGCAGCTCAATGAGCTTGCCCACCTGCGCCATGCGAACAGACTGGGTGAGCACTGCCCGAGGCAGACTTCTCCCTACAGGACAGGTGCCCAACAGTGGTAACTCAAGAGCAACTGTGTCTGTGATCCCTGGAGTTACCGCCTATCCTTTCCTCAGTGTCCGAATGAGAGAGCTGAACTGCAGAGGCAGGGCAACTTGTCCAAGGCCACACAGTTAGGAGGAGTGCAGCGGGGACCAACAGGTGGCACCCGCCGGAAGAGAGGCCAAGCTTGTCACTCGGGAGACCCCAGAGTGCGGCTGAGCCTCTGGTTCTCTGCAGAGGAGAGGGCCCCAGAACTGCTCGGGGCTCAGCGCTGTCTGGCCTACAGGGGCAGAGGGCTCTTTCTGACCCAGCTGCAGGGTCCCGTGGCCTCAGTCCCTACCACTGAACTAAGTGCTTGCTTTCTTCCTTAAATGTAGCACCTCTGAAAAGCCTCAAGGTAACTGACCGTCATTCTCGATGGGAAGCCGTGCGGGTTCATTATGATGTCCGGACAGATGCCAGAATCACAAAATGGCATGTCTTCCTGGGGGACGATCAAGCCACAAACACCTGGAGGAGAGAAGAGTTCATGCCACGTAAAGCAAACTGACAGAAAGGAAGCATACAGTACCTAATTGGGATCTCCCTCCTGCTATCTCTATTTCCTCTGCTCTAAAACCCTCCCTGTGGTCTCTATCAAGAGGAACAAAAGCAATTTCCAACAATCCTACTCAACAGTTCAAAAATGACTCTCCTTGCAGAAAAACACGCGGCTGCAGGCTGTAGGGCCTTCGGGACACAGCAGTGCTGTCACTGCCTGCCTGGCCTCCCAGGCCCCCAGGAACAAGAGTGGCGACTGCCCCAGGCCTGGGCCTGCTGCACACCCCCTGCGGAAGGGCAGGCAGAGCCGACTGACGGGTGTGTGTCCAGGCGCTTCCCAAGAACTGAGACCAGAGGTGCTGCTGTGGGGCTGAGGCACTGCGCTGCCACTTCACCTGCTGGCTCAGGGGCTGGCCAGGCTGCCCTGGCTGAGCCTCAACTGCCCAAAGAATTTTAATCCTTGTAGCTTGCAGCACATTCGAAAAGTGATCTCCTATTGAACTTATAAAGACAAGTAAGAAAACTAAACGCCAAACCATTCTTGGAAAAAGAGACTAGAATTAGAAATGGAATTCTAAGCATGAAGACAGAACAAATGGGGAACTGCGCTCTGCACACTGCGGACGCCCTCCAGTGAGCTGTGGCCCGTCGCTCCTGTAACCCCGTGCTGGGCTATCCGGGGTGTCCTTGATAAATAGTTTCTAATCCTCTGGTTTCTTTTTCTTGGGAGGAGATGGAGGGGTAGAATTTAGATAGCTAACCACAATCTACATAATTATGACTGTGAAACTAATGTACAATGGCACTGACCTAAGGAAAAATGCTCTTATACTGTAGTAAAATAAAATTCCTTTATCATGTGAAATTATCAACTACCTGCACCCACTGAAAAACTGTTGGTAAATTTTTCACTTCTCAGTTTCAATTCTACATAATTTCTCAGAGTACTTGTGTGTGTGTGTGTGCTGTTGGGGATCAAGGCCCGGGCCTTGTGCATGCTACGTAAGAGCTCTACCACTCAGATGCACCCCAATCCCCTCCAACTATGGAAAACATTTCCGTGTGTAACTTCTTACAGAACAGCTTCGATCCAAAGGAAAAGAATGCCACCCGCCTATCTAACATTGGCCATTACTGTTCTGATTTCAGTGGCTGCCAACCAGATGGTGAGTAGGTTTGTGGAGCTGAATTCTAGAGTGTGTCTCACTGTCATGGCATTTCGGTGGACATGCGTTATGCTTTCCTACCCGAGGGACAGAAGCGATCATTCACTTCACTCTATTTCAAATTCAGCTACAGTGTGTTAGAATTTAAATCAAGCAGAGTGTGTGACCCTTCTTTCTTCCCTCCAAAAATCCATCTTGTCCACACTGAAATTATTGGACAAAACCTCAGAGCTACTGGGAAAGAGCCACTTTGAAAGAGAGCAAACTGTAAATCTACATGCACCGACAACATAGTTCAGCGGTGAACAAAATGTTAAAGATGGCAGCTCCTACAAGGCGCTGGACGGGGACGCCTGGGAGGACGTATCAGGCTGGCGAAGAGGTGCAGATCAGCTCTGCCTTTGAAAACAGAGCCCAAGAGAGACCGCGGCACCTGTGGCTGCTCACAGGGAGTGGTGGCGCCTGCGCAGGAGGAGGCTGGGTCCACCGTCCACCGTGCACTGCCCCCTCCGCCCAGGAAGGAAGGTGGGCGAGGGACGGGAGGGGACACAGCCACACGGGGGGAGGGGAAGCACAGGGGTGACTTGCATTTTGTGTCTTCTGTCTTATTCGACACATTTCATCGAGTAAATTCAACTTTATTGCGTCACTAAAATGAAAGAAATGCTCATCCCGCCGAAATCAGAATCCCTAATAACTTCCCTTGAACTCTGATTTAATATTTAGGGCAGGCTTCCTTTCTGGGGGAAGTTGTTTTTTTACTTGTTCTTTTCTGACACTTTGTTTTTTAAAAATACACTTAAGAAGCTTTCAGATTTTTTCATTCTGTTATAGGGACTGCTCTGGCTGTATCTCAACCCAGGGCACCTGTAAGCCAAAAATTAAATCTTTGCTAACTTAAAATTACTTTAGGCGCTGAAAACCCTTTTATATGCCAAGATGGTTCCCATAGCAGACAGCCCTGTGTTGTTTGTTTTGTGTGAAAGTGAATGATAAAAGACCCATGAAATCGACACAGAAAGCCAGAGCAGCAGAAAGAACCCAGGGCTCTCCATCATCGCGGCTTCTACCCTCCGCTGACTCGGGGAACAATGGGGGCTACACATCCAACTGCAGATCTAACACAGCTGTGCATCTCATTAGATGAAGAGCATTAGTGACACAAGTAAATAATTAACTTATTCTGGTCCGCTGGCTGTGCTTATGAGACCAGTCATAGCTGACAGATTTTAATACAAGTTAACACAAAGGCCCCATAATGAGCTTAGAAGTTAAAACAAAATATTTAGACAGAATTTGATGATCTCCAATCTCAAATGAGACAGATGATTTTTAAAAGTTTGAGTTTTACTGAATTCATTAGGGTTAAAAGAGAGCTCTTAATCTTAGAACCAGACTTTTCTTCGTTTGAAAGGTATTTCTCTGTTTCAGAGTATTTGAATCCTTAGTCAAAGTGCGAAGGTTTCTTATTTTCCAATGAAAAATTAAAACTGTTTTCCCCAGGGGTGGAGGCACAAAACTCACTCTAGCGCTAAGAACTCTTAAAAGTTATGGTCACTTTCCCTTGGTGCTGGCTTCACGATGTAATGATATGCAGGATACTCCAGTGTGTTAACCTCCTGAGTCCCTGAAGAGAGGATGGACGGGCTGCAAATAAACCGTATCTAATGGGAGCTGTTGGGAAACAATTACCAACTCATACCTTAAATGCTCACACAGCATTTCAAATTTTAAAATAAAATTTCATCCCCTGGTTCACGCGGGTGTCTCAAACCCATTGTTTATAGCACAGCCTCCTGGCAGGGAAATGCAAACACACCAGTTTAACGAGCCCAGAGACATTTCATGTGGTGGCTGGGGCCACACAGAACCGGACCACAGACTACACTGCAGGACTTTCAGCAAGGTAAGTGGACAACAGGAGCACCAAGTCTTGGGACAGACAGAACGTCATCCCAACACAGAGATCTTCATTTCAAGTTGTAAAGCAGAGGAACTTAGGGAGCCCAAGGAGGCTCCAAGTGGGTGCTACCTCGTCTCGCGCGACACGTTGGCTCCCGCACCAGCCTGCCGCTTCTGCCTCCATGGCTTCACAGAGGGACCCGAGATGAGGGAAGAACGGGTTCCCCAGCTGAAAGTCCACTGATCATCAGGGATCATCTGATTTTCTGGAAAGTATCTCTAATTATAAATAGTTACTGACTTACTCAAAAATCACTTCTGACTTCCCCAAAACACTTGTTTTAGTGTACTGATCTGTACACTAGATTTCCTTCATCTGAACAGGAAAAAGGAAAGAATGTAAGAAAGAGGAAGAACCACAGACAGGAGTAAATGGCAACTGCAGGAGGTGACTGTATGACATCTGTAATCCAAGAGCTGCTTCCCATGCAGCTTCAGTATGGTCTTCTACGTGCTGGTGGCCAGTGGGCCACGACGGAGCATGTGCCAGGTGACCAGCACCACGAGGCGTGGGGACAGGAAGAGGGGCGGGGCTGGGTGCAACTCCAGACAGGCAGAGGTGGCCTCTGCAGAGCAATGCGGGGAATCCCAGAAACCAGCACACTTAGGCAGCTCTGCTTGCCACATCTGGATGCTCCAAGTGATGCAAGGCATACCTGGCAGGAGGCACTAACTGGAGTCTGACTCGCCTGCTTTTGCCTTTGACAGATACTGTTAGACAAGGCCATTTATCCCACAGTTTAACACCTCACTGAATGAAGGGCGACACGATGCTGACTTTTCTCCATGATCACAGTGCGAGAAGAGGGTGGCTGCCTAGCAAAGGCGTGGACTCTACAGGATGCCCAGCCGTTACGAGGTTTTCAGGTGGGGCTGCCACCTGCAGTCATCACTCCTCCAGGCCCAGGCCACCAGGCCAGTACAGGTGGGTAAGCAAGGAGTCAGAGGACCTATACTTGGCGCTGAGCTCCAACAGGCATTTCATGACCAGGACAAGAGGTGTGGTCAGGGGAGCCTTAGTAGTTTGGTCTTCATAATGGGAATAGTTAGCACCTCCCTCATGAGATGAGCTAATGCCTGGGAGTACTTAGAGACAGACGAAGGATGATTACGTAGGAGAACCCTAAGTACTCTAGGCAGGAAGTGCACTAGCCAAACACAGGACAGGACGTGAGCAGAGAGCCTGGAGCAGGTGCACTAACCTTGGCCAAGGAGGCCCCAAAGCAGGGCTGGCTTGGCTCTCCTCCCGCCTCCCTCCTGCTCCGTGGGTTGTCCAGGACCCTGTCTCCTGATCACTGTAAGGACTCTCGGGAAAACGGCCTATTACTACGGAGGAGCCGGGCATCATGGGGCTGCAGCAGCAGTCCGAATGCTTTCAAGTTTGTCCCTATGAAGAAATGCTGTGCTGTGAATCAACTCATCTCTACAGGCCTTAATACATTCAGAAATGTAAATTCCCAACTCAAAACATGAAGGCTAACACAGGCGGCGACTCCTTTCTTCCCTTCCCCCTTTCCAGTTATCAAATTAACCTTCTTTTATTTTTCACACTACCGCCTTAAATAATCCCGAGGGGAGGAGTGGACAGAAAGTGTTGAATCATATCAGCTTTGTTCTGCTGCTGAATCACTTCCAGATCTATCACATCACTGCCGTATCCCAGTTGACACAATTTTAATTCGGCTCTTCCTTACATGTTAACAGATAAATAATGCATAAGAAAACTTGATTAGCTTTCTTATTAAAACATCACTCTAAATGAGAGGAGGCGCTAGAAGACAATGCAGTTTTTACACGGCTTTCCCATGAGCAGTTGAATGGTTTGATGTGATAAATTTGCAT